GGCGGAGCTGAGACGGTGGGGTGTGCTGGCGAAGGGAACCTCTGGTCAGCTCAGGAACAGTGGGGGATGGGGGAGGGTTCATGGGACTCACCTGGGCTGTGAAGAGGGTCCTCCTTTTCTGGTATAGCATAATGATCAATCTCCTGGTACAAGGCCTCATCGGTGGCATCTTTGAAAGCAGGTGAAGCTGTAAAAGTAGCAGGAGTTCACAGACTGCCCTGCAGACAGTCCCTACACTAACAGGCAAGGCCACGGTGCTCTTCAGGGCCCCCCTGGGGAAGCCTGCTGGCCTGCCATGGCCCCTTCGTAACCCTTTTAGAAAAAGAACAAGTTTTCCTGCCACCAGCTGTGACCATGTATTCAATTACCACTGACACTGTTCTTACAATAATTCATAATTTTTTGAGATATTTTCTAATCAATCTTGGAGCAGGGGTTCCGCTGTCTCATTCTTGAAGAATATTATTTGCAGATTGTGGGCTCGAAGCCAATACTTGCACTTTTCTTGGTATCCTAATTGGCTCAACAACTTCTCTTTTGCGTCCCCATGGCCCACCTCTGTGCTCTGCTCTCCCTCTGTGCAGCTGAATGCCCAGGATGACCAGGACCAGGAAGAGAAGGGCCCCCAACATAATGCCAAGGACCCCGGGCAGGAAGAAGACTCCAGGGCCAGCAGCTGGGTTTGATCTGCTGCCTGAGGACAGAAGAGGGTGGTGAGGTTTCAGAGAAGCTTGTAGACCCAGTACAGCCCTTCCCCGTCACCACTTTCTTTTCTTTGCTCATCCACTGAGTACTCTAGACCATGAATTGACCATTCAGATACAATGATGGACCTGAACCCCAATATATGTCCACCCAAACCCTGCCCTCAGCTGTGTCAACTGTCATCTGCATCTGGTTCTCAGGCATCTCTATAAAGTAAAAGTGGATGAGGCTGTGGAGTATCACAGCTGCAACAGTTAACACCTGAGCATGGGCCTGTCCTACACCGATAAAGTTAATTTTCTAGAAGTATGTAGGTTTCACTGTGCATTCA